CGGCCGCGGCACCGGAGGCAGCAGCTCCCAGCCCGGTCCCAGGATAGCCCCGCCACCGCGGGCCGCAGCTCCCAGCCCGGTCCCAGGGCGGCCGGGCGGCGGTCGAGGCGCCGCGCTCGGCACGCTACGCCGGCCGGCCCTGCACTGCGCCAAACTGGGGCACGATGGCCTGGCGCGGAGAGTTGGCGGTCGGGTTCAGCTGCGTTTCGGAGAAGCGCACGGTGGAACTTCTTGGCCGCGAGGAGTGCTATGCGCGTATGGAACTGAACTTGTCGTTGCAAACTCTTCAAGCGGGGGACTAGTATGAACTAGGAACTAGTCAATGCCTTGGGATCGGAAGATCGAAGGTCTCAGGACATGGAAGGTGTATTTTATGTCCTTAATTTAGTGATATATGGTCCTGCGTTAAAAAAACGTCGAAGAAACGGGAAAACTTACCTAATTTTACTAATGTTTGTGTACCTACAAAGCATGTTGATAGGCTTGTGTAAACAAAACCAGTCAGGTTAAATGCAGTCATTGAAATGCCTGAATTTGCCTTTGGTGTGGCAAGTCCAGGACGCTGGGCTGCTCGTGATTGGTTCGCGATATGCTCTCTGTGAGTGTGTATGCAGGATGGGCACGGTTTTGTTCGCGCCCGCTCAGAGCGAATGCGCCGACGAATAAGACGACCGATAGCAGTGCCTCAGTGGCAGTGCCGGCAGTGCCTCAGTGGCAGACCGATAGCAGTGCCTTGGTGGCAGCATCTCAGGCCAACAGTTCATTGCTTTGACGTGCATGCATGTTCCCCGAGATGGCTGCATTATGCATGCAGACGGTGGGGGTGGGAAGAGGAGGAGGCACCTCACCGTTGTGCGGGGGCATGCTCGACGCATGACCCGAAAGCTTTTGGATGTAGATGTAATCATGGAAGGCAGTTCTAGCGTAATGCGAAAACGTTGTTAGGAAGAGAGAGGGGTAGAGAGTAAGAGAAAGTAGAGAAAGGAAATAAATAGAGGCAAAGGAAGAGAAAACGAGGGAGGGGGACGGTGACAGAGACAGAGACAGAGACAGAGACAGAAACAGAGACAGAGACAGAGACAGAGACAGAGACAGAGACAGGGACAGGGACAGTGACAGGGACAGGGACAGGGACAGGGACAGGGACAGGAACAGGGACAGGGACAGGGACAGGGACAGAGACAGATACAGAGACAGAGACAGAGACAGAGACAAGGACAAAAACAGAGACAGAGGAAGAGGCAGAGACAAAGATAGGTGGTATTCAGACCATCTGACTGGCTAGAGAGCTCAGCATCATTTCCACCACCCTAAGCGCGACTCGGTGATGGATTTTCGGAGCCGCCGCCGCCGCCGCCGCCGCTAAACGTCATTTCTCTCGCTCTGCCCCACACGCTGGCTCGGCCTTTGTGTCTGCTAATCTTCGCCGGCCGGCCCGCCTCGCCGGCGCCCTGCGGCGGGGCGGGCTCGTCCCGCGAGTCGCTCCTCACCCCGGACAACGGCGGCCGCGAACGAGCCACGCGCGCCCGGCGGACCAGCCGCCGCCGCCGCCGCCGCCGCCGGCGCCGGCCGTACGCGGGGCACGCGCTACGCTCGGATGACACGCCCCTCCCGCCGCGCCGTCTGTGCGGCCGCCCGCTCAGCTGGGTGTGACTCAGTGCCGCCGCGAGCCTCCCGAAAACCATTGATTTGTTGAGTCACTGTACCGCCACCCCCGCCGCTGCCGCCGCCGCCGCCGCCGCCGCCACCCTGCGCAGCCGGTTATTTAGTGGGGCCCGGTATCATGTCGATGGGGCGTTGTAACAGCCCCAGTCACGCCGCCGCCGGTGGCCGATTGGGGCGCCATCCCGCGGCTGTGAGGCGAACCACGAGCCTCGCTGCCTTCAAAGGTATTGCAGGGCAATCGCGATATGTGTTGGCTGTTTATGAATTGAGGTTAGTTGAAATTATCGTCTTGCGATCGGACTATTTAAGACCACCTGCTCCAGTTGTCCTTTCAGTCGCAGATTCTGGCTGCCGTGGTGCCCGCATTGTTTACGGCGTGCGCGTATGATCATATCTTGGCAGAATCATTGTCACGACATGCAACAGTCAGTGTCACGACACAACCCGTGACAGCCGGCGTTGCAATCCGTCAGGTCATCGTCACAACTTGTCAAAAGCTACCGTCACCACCTGTAGCACCGTTTGCCGCAACGTATAATGTGTGTGAAATTTGTAGGTGTGTTTGCAAGGCACCTATGCTATACTGCATCATTGCACCGAATTCGAACTGTTGCGGACCGCGCCACGTGGCTTGGGATCTTCGGCACCTTCCGGCTTATGGTGCAGTGAACTGAATTTATCCTTGATGAACTGGATGGCGTCTTATATGAATCATATGTTTTCGCCATGACATTCCACGTGGACAGGCTGTTTTCTGGGTTTAGATTCCGCTATCATATCTACCGATCGTTGAAAGGTATAAGCCTCATAGGAAAAGCCTCATCCGTCGAGCGCTGCGCTTCTTAGAGCTGCCAGTAACACGATTAGGCCTGATGGGTGCCAATCAGGAAGTATGAACGTTGCAGTCAGTTAAAGCTGATTACAAGTAAAGCGGACGCTGATAACTGCTGCTCGCTTTTCTCTGTCTGCAACAGCCATCGGCAGCCATCAGCTTTCGGCCCGGTGCTTGAGAACCGGGCCTTGGTGGGCTGTGAGTTGGACGGCTCAGATAGTCGGCTGGCGGTCGGAGGCCGGCCGCGCTGAAGCCCATCGTACAGGAGAGACCACGTGCCAGTGCACGAAACAGTGCATCGGACTGGTGCACCGCTGAGTGTCAAGTGTGTCAAGCGTAAAGACCGCTGACCGCCGAGTGTAACGTGTCAAGTGTCAAACCCTTCAATGATACCGAGCCGTGGGGTGAACGGACGCGCCGCTGCTGGTGCCGCTGGTGGTCTCTGATCTGCCGCCGTCGCAGAGCGGACGCGGGGGTGTGGCTCTAATCGTCGCCAAATGCGCCAACGGATGCAGCGCCTGCACGGCTTAGGCTGAGACACGTCCGATTGGCTTAATTCTGAAATCACTGAGGACTCAGCGATACTTAGACAGACTTGAGCGCTGACACGTGCCTGGGTCTGCAAAGTGGGTCCAGGACCCCATAGGGAGGGCTCCATGATTTTGGGATCTTGGGATCTGGTAACGTATCCGCCGGTTTACCGTTTGGTTGGGGAAGGGGCGAAAGCCTGACACTTCCGGTGACGTCGATGCCCCTCTTTGTTCCGTCTCGGATGCCGTGGCAAGGAAGTAGCCGTTTCGTTGTTCGTCTGTTGTCTGGCAATCCTGACTCAACCCGTCGCTTTCCGGTCACGAGTTGGGAGCGCTCCCTTCAGCTCGCCGCAGCGCCGCAGCGGCGCCCGTCACAGTAGCGACCGATCGTCACCCCAACTAGATTCTCCCTCCTGCTCCTCCTCCTGCTCCCTCTATCCCTCCTCGGCCCGCTCCTCCGCCCGCTCCTCCTGCCGCTCATCCCCCCGCTCCTCCTCCGCTCCTCCGCCCGCTCCTCCTCCGCCAGCTCCTTTTGCCGCTCCTTCGCACGTTCCTCCGCCCGTTCCGTCTGCCGCTCCTTCGCCCGCTCATTCGCCCGCTTCTCCGCCCGCTCCTCCTCCCGCTCCCCGGCCGTTTCCAGCCCGCTCCTCCTCCATCTCCTTCTTTCCCTCCTCCAGCTCCTCCTCCAGCCGCCAGCCGCTCTGACCTTCGGGACGCGCCCGCCGCAGTCTCACCCCGCCGCCGCCCCGCCGATGCCGCTCACGCTGCAGCCCCCCCCCCCCCCCCCCCTGGGCCAGTCGTACGGCCCCGCTGGCCGGCGGCCCTCGAGCCATCAATCAACACCACACAGATCCGGTGTTGACTGCGAGACTTCAGCCGCCGCCGGCGCCGGCTCGGCGTGCGGCCCGCTATCCGGCTCCCGGCTGAATTATGGACGGCGGCGTCGGTCGGAAAAGTTTCGCGGCGTTGCTGGCGCACCGGCGGCCGCAGCGAGCCCGGCGGCGGCGCGGTGCTGACCCCGGGGAGCACCCCCCGACTGCGGCGCCGGGCAGAGGTCGGCGTGATGGGCGCAGCGGCCGACTCGCGTTCGGGTGTGTCCGAGGCTCTTGTCGAGTGTGTCCGAGGCTCTTGTCGTGATTATGACGCGGCGGGAGCCACGTACTGTCCTACAGCGACTCTTGCACAGCAGGTCTGAGAAACTCCGTGCTGCGAGGTGGCACTTCTCGCTGCGTTTTTCTTCAACTTGGACATCAGTATGGTTTATAAACATCCAGCGGCGTTGTCGACATAGCCCCATGCGTGTGTAACTATATTTATGCTTGAGGGCACTTTTTCATTTTTATGAAGACTATCGTGGCCAGGGGAGATAATTAAAGACTAAATACTTCATTTGACTGCTTCGTAAGGCCACAAAATGATCAGCGATGTCCAGGCGCCACTAAACCACGTATTATCATCATCAGAGGCCACGCATGTGAAGGTCAATGTTGTGCTCGCTTCAATCACTTATGGGTATGCTCGCGTGCCGGCTGACTTGTAGCTTTCTTTTCGTCTGCCCCTCCCCCCTTGGACTTTCAGAGAAAGGGACAAGTGCATGTCAGATGTAGACAGTTCAGTCGGGGATTTCTCTGTCGTGCTAAGTCCAGTGCGTTTGCCCGCTGACTTTTTATGGCGTATTATCATGCAGTCATTTTTTTGGCTTTTATGCTGTAGTGCCACTTTCAAATTTATATTGTTCGCTGCACTTGGCTGCATGCACGTATTTATTCGCCATGGGTGTAACAGTTCGTACTATATTATTATATCATATTCCCTCATACGATGATCATAATTTGACTGTACTGTGCATGAGTACCGGCTGTTTTGTCGTTGCCTTTAGTGCCCCACACAGGTAATAGTGACGAAAGACAAGAAAAAAGTGTTGAATGTCTTCGCGTTGCATTTTGCTGACGCATCCCTCTTTCTTGTTGCAGAGGTCGGCAGGTGAGAGTCGCGGCCGGCAGAACCGACAGCTGCTCAACATGAGCGTCGACAACGACCGGTGTCGGGATCGCATCCTCTCCATGCAGGACGAGCTACAGAGGTGAGGACGCGCCAGATTCCCCGTGAGGGAGGTCACGGGGGGCAGGTGACGGAGTTCCCATGGCCCGGATTATGTCACTTGGCTCGCGCACGATAGTGATGTGATGATGTCACGTCACCTAAATGACAGACGTGACACATTGCGGACCATGGAAGTCACCATGGTCAGAGGGGGGGGGGGGGGGACTACCGGAGCCGCGGAAGGTTTCGCGGCGGGCCGTGGGACGATGGTCGAGTGGTCTCCACTGTCAGCCGAGATGGAACTGGGCGAGCCACGTCACGAAAGTCGTGATCTGCGTGAAGCAATCAGTGGAGCACACTCGCCACGCTTTTTGTCCAATGACTCCAGTTATTTAATGTTTCTTTATTTTATTGCGTATTCGCGCTCTTTGAATGTGCACGCTCTACGATCAGCCTGTGTTAACAAATTACGTTTTTACATTTTATTTGAACGTTGCCACCAGTATTGTTTTAATCTGCTTCCTTTCCAACGAGACAAACATGCGTTTTTGCAGTCAAAAGTAGTACAACTATGGCTGATCGTCCTGAGTCACATACATTTTGGTGGAGCACATCGCATGTGTCATCTATTTTAAAATGCCTGTGGATGAATCTGGATGATTTTTCCGCGTGCTCATATTTCATTGTCTGGGACATCTTGCTCAATTTATCAAGACAAAATAAGCTATTGGGTGCGTCCTGTTGGAGGCAATTTTCCAATGCCGTAAAGCTCGCCAACTTGGTCCTGATGACTGCCTGCTCGGAAATGCTGCCGGAAATTCGCGGCAGATCGAAGTCACGCTCGGATATTGCCGACAGATGGCGCGTCGGCGCTTCTGAGTTCCAGCGCGCCCGCGGCCACTAGATCAGTCCGAGCACGCCGGTCGGGGGAGGAGCCAACTGGGCCCTAATCCGATTGCTCTAGCTTTCTGTCGAGTAGATAGATGCAAACGCGGGCCAGGAGATGACTCCAGCGTTTATCAAGCGATAGGCGTTTTAAGCCGCCAGACGCCAGGGTAGAAACGGAAAGAGCCAGGGATGTGCTTTCCTATTCAGGTTGGGCACCAACGCCCAACTTTGAGAAGCAAGTGAACCATATCCGATAAGAAACTCGCTTGTTGGCGTATTTGGGGGAGGGGTCGCCATTTTTCTGTTTGGCCCCCAGCTCATACTGCGGAAATACGCCCCTGAAGAGGAAGTTTTGCGGATGACTATCATTTGACCTGAAGCGTGGGCGCCACAGCACTAAAACTACCAGGAGTCTGGATGTCATCTGTTTAACTTTGTCAACTGACAAGTCCTTTACTCACACTGGCATTCAGCGACCTCCACGAATACGGCAGCACTGAAGGGCAATCACCCTTTCAACAAGCTTTTCACTCTCGTCCAGAATAGTCACGGCCACTGGCCCTCACGCAGTGTCATGGCTAGTCAGGTCCGCTAGAGCGTTCTCAAACCCATGTTTTGCTGGCACGAACCTTACAGCCGTTATAAGAAATGGTGACACTGATTGCCCTATAACAGTTGTCCGTGTCAACAAATACCCTGCCGTCGTTGGCTCCCCGCTGATCTCCCTCCCCTCCCCCTCCGGCAGGTCGGAAGGGCGACTGCGAGCCACCGAGCTGGCACGTGCCGAGGCCGACAAAAAGCTGGCGGACGCGAACGCCCTGCTGAGCTCGCACGAGGTGGGTGGGAGTCGCAGCAGTGCCTTTGTGCCCGGCTAGGGCGGCCGGCTTTGTGAGTGCCGCCGGCCGCTGGCGTAAGCCGCTCGCCGTCGCCGGCCCCACTCTCCTCCATCTCCGCTCAGACACCAATTAGGTAATGCCGCGTCCGCCGCCCATGATAATCCCGGTGATGAAGTGGCGCGGCCGCGGCCGCCTGTCGATGCGCGCCTGGTTTACGGCCGGTCGGTGCGCCGCTGACGGGGCAAATCGCCTCGGGCGTTCCGGCGCCGGCCAGCGAGCGGCTGGGTCCACCGCGGGCGTTCCGGCGCCGGCCAGCGAGTGGCTGGAGCGGCTGGGTCCACCGCGGGCGTTCCGGCGCCGGCCAGCGAGCGGCTGGGTCCACCGCGGGTGGACCGGCGCCGGCCAGTGAGCGGCTGGAGCGGCTGGGTCCACCGCGGGCGTTCCGGCGCCGGCCAGCGAGCGGCTGGGTCCACCGCGGGTGGACCGGCGCCGGCCAGCGAGCGGCTGGAGCGGCTGGGTCCACCGCGGGCGTTCCGGCGTCGGCCAGCGAGCGGCTGGAGCGGCTGTGTCCACCACGGGCGTTCCGGCGTCGGCCAGCGAGCGGCTGGAGCGGCTGTGTCCACCACGGGCGTTCCGGCGTCGGCCAGCGAGCGGCTGGGGCGGCTGGGTCCACCGCGGGCGGACCGGCGCCGGCGCGGGGGCTCGTGCGGCATCGTCGCCGCCGCCGGGCGGATGGGCTGCTGGCTGCGCTCCAGAGTGGGTTGAGTCGCGTGTGTATGTGTGTGGGAAGGGGGGGGGGGCGAGACCACGCCATGTGGTGCGGGATTGTGTACTGTATGGAGGGGTCGTCGCCTCGGTGGCTGTCTGCTACTGTACGGAGGGGTTGGCACCTCGGTGTTATGTCTGCTACTGTACGGAGGGGTTGTCGCCTCGTTGGTGGCTGTCTGCTACTGTGCGAAAGGGTTGTCGCATCAGTGTTGGCTGTCTGCTACTGTACCGAGGGGTTGCCGCCTCGTTGGTGGCTGTCTGCTACTGTGCGGAGTGGTTGTCGCCTCAGTGTTGGCTGTCTGCTACTGTGCGAAAGGGTTGTCGCCTCAGTGTTGGCTGTCTGCTACTGTGCGAAAGGGTTGTCGCATCAGTGTTGGCTGTTTGCTACTGTACCGAGGGGTTGCCGCCTCGTTGGTGGCTGTCTGCTGCTGTGCGGAGTGGTTGTCGCCTCAGTGTTGGCTATCTGCTACTGTGCGAAAGGGTTGTCGCCTAAGTGTTGGCTGTCTGCTTCTGTGCGAAAGGGTTGTCGCCTCAGTGTTGGCTGTCTGCTACTGTACGGAGGGATTGCCGCCTCGTTGGTGGCTGTCTGCAACTGTACGGAGGGGTTGTCACCTCGGTGTTATGCCTGTTACTGTGCGGAGGGGTTGTCGCCTCGGTGTTGGCTGTCTGCTACTGTATGGAATGGTTGTCGCCTCGGTGTGGGCTGTTTGCTACTGTGCGGAGTGGTTGTCGCCTCGGTGTTGGCTGTCTGCTACTGTACGGAGGGGTTATTGTTGTCTCGGTGCTGACTGTCTGCTACTCGTGCAGCTGTGCTGCGCGATGGATGAACGGTCTTTGGTTGTTGCGTGCGCTGTGCACTCTTCCGGCGAATATTGTGATTTCTTCTGCTGACTAGCTGCTGGCGTGCTGTGCTTCGCTGTATGCATAGACGTGTTTCGCTGACACTTGTGTCTCGCACTGACAGGAGAAGGTATGACCTATTGTACTGACACGAGCTGTTCATAACGCGGCGCATGTCGCTGACTCCGAACTTGGCGGACCTCACATCAGACGTCTTGCTACTGAAATACTCTGCATTTTCCAGATTTTGTTTGCAGTTGGGAAACCGGTAGGTGCGACATTTCCCACGCTCATACAAACATTTGAACGGGCTCACCGTTTTCTACGAGCAGTGTCTTAGTGCCCCCCCCCCCCCCCCCCCCGTAGACATGAGTTGTGCTCTGACGCAGGATGTCCCGTTTGTCCATGGCCATGCACTCTGAATGGCATTGTCTGTCAGCGCGCCAGTGATACGCCTGACGCCGCTCCCTCGTCCCCAGACGGAGCGGCAGCAGCCGCTGGGCCAGATACACCTAACGCCGCCCCTCGTCCCCCGGACGGAGCGGCAGCAGCGGCTGGGCCAGATACACCTAACGCCGCCCCTCGTCCCCCAGACGGAGCGGCAGCAGTGGCTGGGCCAGATCCAGCAGCTGACGGCGCAGCTGGAGCGACTGCAAGCAGCACCGCCGCCGACAGAGGTACGGTCCACCTCGCGAACCACTGACGGCCGTCCGCCGCGCCGTGGCAGGGCGGCCGGGCGTTGCCGGGCCGGGCGGGCGGCGACGGGCTCTGGGGCCTGGCACCCTGCGCATGGAGCCGGGCAGCCGGAGGAGATAGCGAGCTGGTACTCTGAAGCAGGGTTGTCTCCCTCGGTCTTGCTAATTGGCGCTATGTAGGTGCTTTTGCAGTCATCTTGCGACCCCCCCCCCCCCCCCCCCTCTTCCCTCAGGTAAACTCCCCGTCAGCAGCAGCGGCGCAGTCAACGTCTGAGGATCCACAAACACACCATCCCGCCTCTAGTGTCACTCGTAATTTGCAGCCTTTCTCTCATAGGGTCCCAGCAGACAGCATTACCTACCGCATCAGCCAGTACACGCCTTTTCCATCCCGGCGTCGTGTCGGTACCAGCAGCATGGTCGATCTCTGTTGTGGGTATGACCACCTTCCCATTTTCCCGTACAAGTGTGGCTGCTGATGGTACCGCACCACAAGCCACCGCGCGCTCTCTCGACCGCTCCGGCGAGTGACGGCCGGCGGGGTGACGGGTGGTGGTTGGTGGTGACGGGTCGTGACGGATGATGACGGGTGTTGACGGATGGTGACCGGCGGTGACGGGTGGAAGCAAATGACGAAGAGCAGGGGCAGCGTCACGGATTTTGGGTTGGGGGCAGGATTTTCTAGGGGCCCTGCCGGACAAAATTGGGCCTCCTCACAGGGGGACCTCCCAGCTAGTGTCGCGTTTTAAGGGAGGGGCACCTAGAGCATGTGTCCTCACATCAAATTTTTATATGCATTATATATATATATATATATATATATATATATATATATATATATATATATATATATATATATATCCACTACACAAATACATGTCAACAATTTAAGGGTCCAGAAGGGGCCTTCTCATTATCCAGTAGAGGGTTTTGCTACCCTAAACAAGGTAAACTGTTCCAGAAAGGGCCTCCTGATGCATAGTGGGGCCTCCCGGTCCACAACAGAATCTTCCAACTCCCGAAAAGAACCTCTAAATCTAGCTGAGTGACCTCGTTATCCCAAAACAGGGCATCCTGATCCTAAACCACGGCCACCTGATGCATGGAAGGGTCCTCCTGTTCCAGAAATAGGGCCTCCTGAATAAAGAGAGTGCTTCCTAACCCAGACCAGGGGCCATGTAGTTCGTAGCGGGGGTCTTCGGAGCCAACAAAAAGGCCTCCTTAGCATAGTATTAGGCCCACTCATCTAGAACATGGGCTACCGTATTCATAAAGGTAGTTTCATGATTCAAAAACAGGCCCCTTGATGTAGAAAAGGTTCCTCTGAACCCGATGCAATACTCTCTAGTTTTATGGAGACCTCCTTGATGAGAATTTTGGAAATCTATGACTTACTACCATGCCTTGGGCTTAGAAAAAAGGGGCTTCCGAAAATTATGAGTGGGTCGAAATATACTCTTGCCCATCCGCCACCTCCCCCTGCTGCGCCGGCCCTGGTGACCGATGGTGGTAGGTGGCGACAGGTGGCGACGGATAGTGACGGGTGGTGACGGTGGTGACGATGGTAACGGGTGGTGACCGCTGGTGACTGCTGGCATTGTTTAGTGACCGGTACGGGAGAACGCATTACCTATTGATCGGTCTACTGCACTAGCGGCGAGCGGCGCCTGTCTACGCCGGCTAGAGGCACCTGTCTCCGCCGACTAGGGGTGGCTGTCTTCGCCGACAAACGGCGCTTGTCTCCGCCGACGAGCGGCGCCCTTCTCCGCTGACCAGCGGCGCCTGTCTCCGCCGATGAGCGGTGCCTGTCTCCGCCGACGGGCGGTGCCTGTCCCCGCCGTCAAGCCATGCCTGTCTCTGCCCGTCTCCGCTGACCAGCGGCGCCTGTCTCCGCCGACGGGCGGTGCCTGTCCCCGCCGCGCCACGCCCCTACTCCGCTGGCCAATTACGCCCGCTAATTGCGCCCCACGCGACGCCGGATCAGCCAAGGGAGACACGATGAAGACGGAGGGCCACTGCGACGGGAACGGCACGGCCGGCCGCGCCAACGGGACCGGCGCCAGCGCAAGGGGTGGATGCTGAGGCAATTGGCAAGCGGCGTCTGTGCAGGGCGTTGCGACCCGCTTTCAGCCCATGTCGCCGACGGATTGCGTGAGCTTACCAAGGCAGGGAGCGGAGGGGGCACCGTCGGCGCTGACGTCGCGCGAGCTGCTAGACAGGCGGCCGACATTTTTGGGAGCGGCGTTTCTGGCGCCCCTGTCCGATCTCGAGAGTGCGCTCAGCAGTTTGGCGAGAGCGGGCGGGCAGACCGGCGGGAACCGGTCGCGTAATCCGTAACCGGGCTGCGGAACAGGCTGCGAAGGCAGCTGCACACGCGCCGCCGCAGCAGTCGGCTCGCCCGGCGCTGGCGGTCGGCGCCGCCACTCCGCTGTCGCCGGAACTACGGCTGATCCGACTGAATGGAGTCATTCCGGGAAGCCTGACACTGCGGCGCCCCAAGCGCCAGACCGGTCTCCTCCGCGGACCGGCGGGATCATTTTGTGCGGGCGACAGCTGACAAATGTCCGGCGTATGGACGGAGGCGGCCGTAATAGGGCCCGCTCCGGCACGTGCGCCGTGCGCCGGACCTCTTTGTCCGTGGCTCGCCGGTCACAGGTCGCAGACATCGGCGAGGCCGCCCCTAGAGACAGGCAGCGGGCAGAGCGCGGCGGCGAGCTGGGGGATGTACCGGTTCCCAGTCTCCGAGCCGGGGCAGCGGCGCGGTGGCACGCGGCCGGCGGGCGCGCCGCTTTACGGCTGGCGGCGATGAGTGGTGCGGCCGGCTTGATTGGTCCCGATCGGCGGGGTTTGATGGCGGCGAACTCGGCCGTCAGAGCGGAGCTCAGCCTCTCGCCGTCACGGGCGCACCGGGCTCAAACGCTCCCGACCGAGAATCGCTCAGCGAGTGTGCGACACTCACGTCCGCGGAGTAATTTACATGTCGTCTTGAACCGGGTCATGCATTATTCATGGCCTTTCAAGGGACGACTGTCATGGAAATATGACGCTAGACGAGGCGTCTACTTGCTGCATTTGTGTCATTTGACGGTCAGCAGCCGAGAACTTAAGTTGTGTCCGCTTTTCGACTGCGGTCTTCGTCGCGCGTCGAAATAAATGACGCCTTTTCGAGCCCTCAGCATTTTCCGCCTGATAAGCGGCAGCACGCTGTTATGACGATTGTCTTCATGTTTAATTCACCGCCCGAGATTTACGACTGCCAGCGCGGAAAATGGGCGCCGCAGTCAATGCTAATATGCAACGATAGCTGGGGATGAGGCCACCGTCTTGGACGGAGCTGACTTCCGCCGTGTGACGCCTTGGACGAAGCTGACTTCCGGCATATCGCGCCACGGGCGGAGCTGACTTCCGGCATATTGCGCCGTGGGCGGAACTGACTATCGCCATATTGGACCGCGCATGGCCGAGACAAATCTGCGTGGTGTGCGAGGAAGTCTCTTTATGACGTCATCCAGTGCTGGCGGCCGCCGCGCAGTCGACGGAGGACAAAGGGACAAAGCGGAGACTGCGGGATCGATGCGGCAGCTGTCGGCTGAGAGAGCCGTGAGATTTTGGCCCGTCGTGACGGACATGCCCCTGGCGCCGCTGATTTGACGGGGACAGGTCGGAACACGCGCTCCGGTGCGCCGTTTTGGAGTTGGCCCCGGCGAAGAGGGCCGACAGGGAGCTCCGAGGCCACCTGATGGATTCTAATTAAGTTTAGAGGAGGGGAAGGGCTATTTTAATATGCTATCTTAATGACTTGCCTGATTGAATCGTCCTAGGCATGGCATCGCATATTACATCCAATAATGTTTGTTCTGTTTGAGGTTGAGTCATTAGTGGTTTAGAAGCGATGTCTTCCGCGTGTATTTGGGGACTCCGTCTGCGCTCAGTTGGTCACTGAGGCCGCTCTCATTGTTCTAGCCGGGGTCGCCGAGTCGTGCTGACCTGGAGGTCAAGGTCAGGGCGTTGGAGGCGGAGCAGACCGAGCGGGAGCGCCGCTCGGAGCGCTGGCTGGATGACATGGCTTACCAGATCGTGCAGGCGCTCTTCAAACAGAAGGTGAGAGACCGCCTGTCGCTTCCTGCTCAGACGCTACTCATTGGGCTGTATCACAATTCGTACCACAGCTTAGTCAGCTGTCTCGTACCGAGCTTCAGCAAACTAAGCTGTCTGACACTCGGTTCCGGCTGAGGCGCACCTCACTCAGTTCCAGCTGAGGTGCGCTTCACTCAGTTCCAGCTGAGGTGCGCTTCACTCAGTTCCAGCTGAGGTGCGCTTCACTCAGTTCCAGCTGAGGCGCGCCTCACTCAGTTCCAGCTGAGGTGCGCCTCACTCGGTTCCAGCTGAGGTGCGCCTCACTCGGTTCCAGATGACGCGCGCTTCACTGGGTTCCAGCTAAGTGTGTCTCACTCGGTTCCAGCTGAGGTACGCCTCACTCGGTTCCAGCCCTGCGGGTTATCTGGCGCTCACTTCCAGGTCACTTCGCTGCCTTGGACGCAGCCCAGGCTCCGCCACTGGCCCCACACAGCTGCGTCTCAGTTGTGTCTCGATTCCAGCGCATTTTTCTGCAATCCAATGGCCAGACTTCCTCGGCAACTTTCCTTGGGCCCTCTGTTGACCTGCATACAGGAGACAGGCCCCGCTAGAAAAACGCCACGTCCGGACCAAAGCAGCCATGCGTCACGACCACCGGTCAGGAGTTGAACGGCGCGACAGCTGGACGGCCGGGCTTATGCTGTGCTCCGCAGTGCCACAGTGCACTCGCGGCCAGTTTTACCGGCTGTGCGGCGATAGCATCGGCGGCGAATGCCGACTCGCCGTCTGAGGCATGCACACCGGTTTTGCCGATTCCTTTAACCGGCTTCATGTCCCGTGCGGGTTTTTTATGGAGTGCGATTGAGCAAACTGCCGTGACATGCTATGTGGCAAGACAACAAGCTACGGCGGCTAGACAAGTGCAGCTGACCGCCCAGTCGTCTGCCGCTGTGGCAACCATTCATAAATAACTAGACGTTGTCGGCAAATGTCGTACTTGCGCGTCCATGAGTGGCGTTGCTTAGAAAGTTTCAGCAGAAACCATCATGCTGTCATACATCCTAGAACGGATGACGCGAGTACCCGAGCCTGGTTAGCAAAGCCGAGTGTAAGGTTCGCAGAACGCTTAACTTTACTGGTTGAAGGTCATACACACCGCATTTTGGAATGCCTTCATTTTGACGTAATTGGCATACCCGATCTTGTCTTCACCCAATAAACTAGCTTTGTCTGCCAAAACTGGTCGGATGTTTGTCAGCGCCGTTTTTGAATGCCAGCCATTCCAGCATTGCTCAGCCAACCGGGGGGGGGGGGGGGGGGGGGGGGGTCCACCGCGGTAGCGGCAGCCCCCATGCCCGTTGGCGACTGCAGGCCCTCACGTGCATACCTCAGGATGTCAACCGGAGCGCTCCAGCATTACCTCGAGCCGCCTTTCCGGCAGATGCTGCAAAACGGCTTGGCGTACCTGCGTCGGCGCGTGCGTGAGCTGGAGCATGAGAACGCTGTGCTGTACTCGATGCTCGGCCGCGCGCCTGGGGGCGCGCCGGCGTCCCCGGCCGCCCACCCGACGGTCAGTGGCGCCGGCGTCTCGCGCTATCGGTCGGCGCCGCGGTTCCTCCGCTCGGGAGATACCGGAACGCGCGCGTTCTGCCGCGGCCTCCGCCTGCGGTTTCGGGCCCTGCAATTGTGGGCGATGGCTGGCCGCAAACTGAATAGTAACGGTCGGGCCAAACTGTGCTGTTTGGAGATGCTGCACTGCTGTCGCTGGCTCGTGGGTGGTTGTGGACGGAGCATTTCCTTTCCTCCCTGCATTTTCCGTTATTTTGCATTCTGTCGGCGGCAGTTTGCGTTCGGTGGCAATTAGCCCGCGTTTAATGACATGGAAACGCCCGCTGATGAGCTTATTTGTGGCGCGGCGTATTGTCACCGCCTTTGTTTTCCTCCCTCACGCCGACCTACCATCCGCTGTTGCAGACACCGACGGCACCTTCAGGCGTCGGCTCAGCTGACGACGGTCAGCTGACGATGATGTGTGCGAAGGTGCGGCGCGTTCTCGAAGAGCACTACAGTGCGTCGACGAGCTCGCAGGCTGCGCCAGTGTCCAGCCCGCCGCACTGGTCTCAGTTCGACTCGCTCCTCACAGATGGCGATATACCCGCCGCTTGCCTCGCCTGTGCTAGTCACACTTGTGATAGTGGCTGCCGGCTGCAGCAGCCTCTCTGGACAGCCGATCGGACTCCCGCACTGCATGCCGCGGCGACCGGAACAAGCTGCAGTTCTGTGGGCGGCCACCAGAGTGCGCCGTTGGCGGGCGGTGCCGACAGTGGGATTATGCGTCGCCTCTGTGAGGTGGCGGACTCAGCGAGCGCCGCTCAGCGCAGCCTCAGCAGGCTCGGGTCGGAACAGTGCACAGTGCCGCGGGTGTACCAGGCCAAACCTGAAAGGGTGGCGACGTCCCACTTGTCGAGCGCCTTGACCGACTCTGAAAAATGCGCCACTCTAGGCGTGCTGCCGCTGGAGCCGGACCTTCCGCCGGTGCCGTCCAACCTGTTTCCACTGCCGGGTGTGGTCTTCTCCAAGGCGTCGGCCGAGCAGCAGCCGCCGCCAGCGTTGCCGGCGGCGGCTGCGCGAGCCAGCTCCTGTCCCCCGAGCGCCGGCAGTCCGGCGGCGCGCGACGACTCGCGGCGCGAGGAGGGGCGCGACGAGGGCTACTCCACCATGTCGAGCGACGTGCAGGCGAATGTGTCGGCCGACTCGGGCGTGTCGACGGCCAGCACCGAGCCGCCGGCCGACCCCGAACCGGGCACGGCGCGCCGGCCGCGCTTGGAGGACGTGCGTGAGGTGCAAGAGGAGGAGGGGCGCACCTCCTGCCTGGAACAGGAGCGCCCCGCCTCGGCCAGCTCCAGCGACAGCGAGGACATGCGGTGTCTGGTGGAAGCGCTGCGCCAGTCGCTGCGGCCGGGCCGGCGCCCGGCGCTGCTGACCGACCGCCGGCTGGGACCGGACGTGCTGTACCTGCCGCTGGCCGGCCCGGCGCGTCACAGCTGCCTGGTGCCGGCGCGACCGCGGCCCGTCCACCGCTGCCGCTCCGACTCGCGGCTCTGCGTGAAGCGCTGGGCGCCCGAGCCGGCGGCGCCGCCCTGGGACGGCGGGGCGCCCGAGCGCTCCTCGTCGACGCTCGAGATCGGTGCCACCTCGACGCTGGACACGCGCCGCACGGCGTCGCTGCGGCGAGCCGCTGGCGAGGCGTGCCTGGAGCGGGCGTCGGCGGCCGGCGCGACGCCGCTGCCCTCGCCCGTCTTCGTGCCGGCGGCGCTGCCGTGGCGCGACGACTGCTCCGAGCTCTGGCGCAACTGCTTCAGCCTGGAGGCGGCCGAGCTGGAGGACTGGAGCCTGCACCTGTCCGCCGAGGAGCTGCGCTCGGAGGTCACCGATGAGACAGGCGGCAGCGAGCGGCTGGCCGACAGCAGCGACTACAGCCGGGTCGGCTCCTTCCCCAACATCCAGGAGGCCATTCTGGAGCTGGAGGAGGACGCCAGCGAGTGCCTGTGGAACAACGCCAGCTACATGTGCCAGCAGCCGGTGGCGCTGCCCGCCTGGCCGTACGGTAATGTTCCGGATCAACTGTCACTGCCGTCGCCCTCAGGCGACCCCAGGATCAGCTGGTCCAGCTCCGAACAGCTCAACTTCATTGACGTCAAGGACACGATTCTAGACTTCAACGACAAGAACGACATAAAAAGCACCGAATGTTATGGCACGTTTGAGGCGTTGAATGGCAGGCTGGACGCAAACCGCAACTCAAACGGCAGCGACGCCATGTCGTGCGTCAGCGTCGTCTCGGAGGACGAGCGGGCCGAGAGCTTAGAGACGGACTTCACCCGCGACTTTTACCGCCTCGTCAAGTACGAGAGCTCCAAGAGTCTGGCGCTGTCGGAGGCCTCGGCGAAGGGAGACGACGAGCCGGCGGCGTCCTCGGCCGACCGGGAGATGGCACTGACGTCCATGCTGAGCTTTATCACCGAGCAGCAGCGCTACATCGAGGAGCGTGAGAGTCAGGACGCGGCGCAGGCCACGGCGCACGAGCCCAATACCAGCACCGACTCGGACTCAACCTCGTGCGCCGGCATGGACCGCTCCTCCTCGTCGGCCGCGTCCGTCGTCGCCGCGCCGGTCGTGGCGGCCGCCTCGCCGGCGCCGGCGGAGCGGCCGTGCGCCGACCGGGGAGTCGTCGCCGCGTCGGTCGTGGCGGTCCGCCTCGCCGGCACCGGCGGAGCGGCCGTGCGCCGACCGGGGCGTCCTCGACGCGTCGATCGAGCTGGCGAAGCTGGCGCAGCGGTGCAGCGCCGAGCGGGACACGGTGCCCGCTTCGGGGTCTGAGCCGAAGTCTGGCGATGATGTGGCGAGCGGCGCGCCCGCCGTGATTGTGTACCGCGCCGAGATCTCCACCAACCACAAGGAGTACACGCCGCCTGTGGAGGGGCCGCCACCCGCGGCGGAGGGCAAACGGGGTGGTGACCGTGGCGGCAGCGGCGCGGCTGTCAAGACCGCGCGCGAGACCGCCGACACGGCGCCGACGAACGCTTCAAGGCTGCCGAAGCCGGGCATCCCGCGCAGTCCGCTGATTGGTAAGCGGAAGCACTCTTCCACAAACAACATACCTCGTGTCCGTCCGCCCTCCTCCCCGAAAGTGTCGGCGCGGCTAAAGCGGGACGCGGTGCGGCCGGCGCCCGAGCCGGCGCCGGCCGCGCCGGCCGCGCCGCCGGCCAAGTCGGCACTGCCCTCGCCGAAGCTGCTGCGCCGCCTGCACGCGTCGCCGGCCCAGGTCGGCGGTCGCAGCATCTCCGAATCGGCCATCGTGCGCAGTCATCGGCGCGCCGAGCCAGCGCCGGCACCGACGCCGGTGCCCACGCGGCCCGACAGCCCGCAGCGGCGCGGCGGCGCGCAGTCAGCGCCGGCGCGCACGCCACCGTCGCGCGCCGCCGCCGCGCCGGCCCGGCTCGGCTCGCGCATCCCGCGTCTTCGCGGCTCGCGCTCGACCGACTCGCGCGAGGCGGCCGGCGCGCGTGCCGAGCTGGTGCGCGCCGTCAGCGAGCCGGCCGAGATCGCGGACGCGTGCCGCGCCCCGGCGAGTCCGCTGATCGTCTCCGAGGGCGACGTGACTAGCTTCCACCGGCGCGCCACCAGCCGCCAGCTGCTGGACGAGCTGAAGCGCCTGTCGGCGCGCGAGGTGCAGGAGGCGCCGCCGCCGCCCGAGCCGCGCCATCGCCGCGAGGGCTCCGACACCGGCTGGGTGCGTCTTGACCGGCCGGTGGACCTGCGCGACTTACAGGTGAGGTCGGCCGCGTGGCTTCTGCGACCCAGCAAGCCGCTGCCGCTTGCTGGGTGTGGCGTGCCAGTGCGGTCGGCGGGATTCAATTAGGCATGACGGCACAAATAAAGACGGGCTGTTCGCAATCAGGCTGAAAGTGCATCCTGTCGTGGATCTGACTTGTCGTGGACGCCGTGGAGAAAGTGCGATGCCTAAGTGATAAACCCTGCCGTCGTAGTCCTGTGCACGACACTGCCACTGGTCATGTCGGGCCACTTTTACTTTGCCAAGTTAGGCCCGGGATGTCTAGCGAGATTTGAAATCGGACGCGTTGGACCCGTCCGTACAAGGATAGCTCAGACATGACAACAGGATTTGGGCCTGGCCATCTAAATGACTGAGCTTCACAACTCATCCTGCTGTGACGTTTAAGGACTGCAGACGTGGGCGCGGGCGTGCATATTTTGTTTGTATTTGGGCCTGCAGGGACGCTAGCTGAAACTAGCCATTGACCCAAGCCGTCGATGGGGATCCGCACAAAGTTTCAATGTCATATCGACTTATAGACGCTTCCATTAATAATGCAAGTTACTATGTTGTTTTGATTTGCCATAGCGGAACTCCAGAACGATGTCTGCATGTTTTTTTTTAAAATTCGCCAGCAGATGTACGAGTCTGCCAACGGGCCGACAGAGGCCACAGGCAGTCGGCTCCTCTCTCCCTCGCTGACTGTTCACGAGGCAGCGATGTGTGCGGGGGTGTCGCGGTGGCAGCGGGACAGATGACTGCGTACACCGGAATCCTTGCGCTTGTATCACTCTGTTGGTAGTGGCAACCCTGCTGGTTCAGCGGTTATCCCCGAAATCATCGTTTGGCCGTCTTAGAGCGCCAATATTCCCGCGCCCCCCGCCCCGATCACCCCAGCTGAAATCGCGGTGCCGCGCTGGGCTGCGGGTAACGGGCCCGACCGGCCCGGCTCGAGCTGACCAACGCCCGGTCCTCGCAGGCTCGGTCGAAGATGTATGACGTCATGCTGGCGGCGCGCGACTCCTCCGATTCGTCCTCGTCGGACAGCGAGAGTGACGTCACGCCGCGGACAGCCAGCGAGTATCAGCACCTCAAGTGGGTGCACCAGGCACGCAGAAGAAAGCAAGGTGGGTGGTGGGGTTCCGATCGGAAATGTGTTTACCGTTTTGTCCTTATCCGTTCATGTAAGCAATTTTTATTGGAAATTGTAATTAAAAGCATCTATCTCTCATTTCTCCTGATTACTGTGAGAGGAAGAGTTGAGAAGTACTGTCTCTTCTCCTGTTTTCATAGCGGTTCAGTGATAATCATTATCATGTTGGTGGACCTTGGTGCTGCTGTGACATTGGTGCGGTGCTTTGTCGGCGTCAGGTTTGGTGGCGCACGACATGAGAGTTGCTAAAATCGAGTGGTCAGACAACGTCGCGAAGCGTGATGCTCGAAAACTTATGAGAGAAAAGCTGATCGTCAGTGGGGCGGGCTTTTCGTGGTGTGCGCGTGCCGACCTCCGCATACCGTTCCCGCGCATGTCGCCTCCACGAAATGGTGTGACCAATCCGCGATGTTTCCAGTCTCACGGCGAAAAGATGGAGCCATTCGCTACACCCCTGTCTTCCGTCCACCAATCATCAACCGGCCAGAGTTCTTCTTCCGCTACGGACCCCAGGAACGCGAGGCGTTGGCCAGGTTCGACTTCCTGGACCGGCTTCCGAGCTGGTCGGCCGGCGAGGGCGCGGCCGGCAGCCGGTGATGGCTGTGACTGCCGTCCTGCACGCCCCACCCACACAGCCCCCCCCCCCCCCCCCCGCCTCAGCTCCGGAGCCGAAACGGACCGGGCCGCCACTAGTACAATAGAGGGAGAGCGCGAGAGGCGAGAGTGAACCAGCCGTACACGTGAGCACACAAATATTCACACTTTCCCGTACCTAAGCATGTTTTGATAGCAATTTAAATAACGTCGCGTCGGGGGAGTGCAGTCAGCTGGCCCAAGATGGCTGCGCCCTATGGCGCATGTACGCGTGCGAGGGAGCCGGTGCGGGCTCGAGGGACTACCTAACCCCAGCGGCCATGCTGTGTACTGTGCACGTGATGCAGTGAGTCTCGAGATTCCCGGTTTTGAAGATATGAGCCTGTAGCGAGTCAGCAATACATAATGACATGTAACGCTCGTCTTGTGTTACCGTTACCCATGCAAACAATCTGCGCGACCTCGCGATTGCAATCTGCTGTAAAGGATTGAAGACGCTGTTTGATGGGTTTGCCATATTTCGTGCTGTCATATTAAAACTGTTGGGGCTTTAAATTAGCCGTTTACCACCAGAATCAGCAGCTGAAAAAGGCTTGAGTCTCGTCGAGGCCATGTATCAGGCCATCCGCATTAATGGTCTTACTACGCTACGCACCGCAGGATATCTTAAACCGATTTGCCGCGGTTGTCGCACGCCTGGCGCACATCACCGACAAAGATAGCCTGCGGCGCTCGGCATCCGACGTGGAATAGGTCGTAATGCGTTCCGAAAAAGGTCAACTAACTCGTGAGATAATTGCACGCAGACAGCGCCCTCACCGCGCGTTTACAGCAACGCCTGGGCACGCTCTTTTCCGCACGCACGCTCACAGTAACGTTACGCCAAAACAGACAGACACACACACGCGCGCGCGCGCGCGAGCGTGCGTGCACGCACGCACGCACGCAGCACGCACACCGCAGCGTGAATGAAAGTCACCTACAGTTTTCTCCATAGATCTTACGGAAGAAGTTGAGACCAGGTATTAGTAGCACGTAAGAAATAAGACGAGGCATCGACATCACGGAGAAATTATGACGACGTATTAGTGTCACGGGTGGAATAATTGTTCACACGACCTTCTTCGCATGGCGTGTCACGTTGCCCATCGCCTGGCGGAGACCGCTTGCAGCTTGAAATGTGGTTTCGCCTCACTGGGTGAACAGAAGGAAGCGAAGCGGAACAGACAGGGAGGGTAGTCAGTCACGTAGTCAGCCCAGCCATGAGTAGGCCGGTACCCGCCCCAAGAACAACTCCCGAAAACACGCCGGACAGGTGCGGGGCTGTTGGTGGTCCGCCGTCATTCACGAAAAATGCACCGCCTACTGTACTTCATTTATTTATTCAGGGCTAAGCTGTGAAAATAAAATATAGGCATAGCAGCCCCTCTGTCGTATCACACAGTTTTAAGTGCTGAACCCAAGCAGGACAGAACCGCGACATTCCCAGCACAGCTCAAGTAACAGACTGACGATATACTCGCAAAACTACAAACCGTTTACGGCTCCAACAGCAGCACCAGATACCCAGTCATAACAATATCCAAGGGCAGGCTCATGGGGATTGAAACAACGCATCAAACACACGTCCAACGCTATGTTCATAACTCTCACTACAACACAGAGAAGGCACGCATCTTCAACATGTGCGAGGCGCACCTTTTCGCACGATTCACCTAGCACTCCAAAGGACGTGACGAATGTACTGAACAGATTGCACCTGTGCGGGTGTCAACTCGTCTCAGCAGCGCCGGGGAACACCCAGCGCCACAAGGGCCATGACGGCGCGCCATCCGATACCGCACGGGCTCGAGACGCGCGCGGTCACCGCCAACACGGCGCCGGCGTCCGGCTATCACAGACGGCAGCCGAGCCGTCGCCGGAGCAGGCGACTCGGCCAGCACCACCCGCGGCGCGCCTCCGACCGCCAGGACAGCACGCCGGCGGCGGCGGCAGCGCTGGCGTCACCGAAGCGAGCGCGCCACCCGGGCCATGCTGTGGCATGAGGGTTGCCAACGGGGGCAACGCAGCGTCAAGGGGGCAGCGACGACGGCTCCCAAGCGCGTGCGTCATCCCAGCTCTGCGCGTCTCGCGGGTCGTCACAGGGGCGACGTGCCGCCGTCCCCGGATGAATGACGTCATCGTCCCGACAGCAATAATGAAGCCTCGTCAGCGGCAGCGCGGTCCGACCGGTGTCGTGTCCCGGCTATCCTCAAGCGGCGACAGCGCCGCCACGCCAGCGACGCGCCTACTTGATCCTGGCCAGCTGAGCCGGCTCGGCCGCCAACAGGCTGAGGATGAACGGCCCCTCCTGGCCGGGCATGTACGTGCTGGGCACGATGTTGTACGTGCCGCGTGGCACGTTCTCCAGCGCCAACACGACGAAACCAGAGCGGTACGAGCCCGAGCTCTGGCGGCGGAAGTAGCCCGGCGACTCTGGGTTGGCCTCCACGCACGTGATGTCCACACCCATCTGAGAGTGGATGTGAGAATGGGTGAGAATGAGGCAAGATATTGTATGGGGTTCTGCGGCGAACAGCGAGAGAGGTTGGCTCCGTACTAAAACCACGGCGCTGCACACGCTACATGCACAGTACGTATTCGTGTTTGACAGCAACTGGCGCTTATGCCAATGCAATTAATTCATGACACCTTACGGTTTTGATACCGATCCTTTCGTCAACACAATTAAATGCTTTAAGATATGTGAAAAAGATTCAGAACAACTAATAGTTGCGTTACAATATAAGCCGTACAGCCTGACCAGAAACAATAAACCAGAGCGGGTTCAACAGCCGAACCATTCCGTCATTTCTTTATCCATCAGCTGGGCGCGAACAGACCATTTGGGCAGCGCGACTAAGCGTCCGTCGGGCCCGGCCGCGCGAGCGTACCTGGTAAACGCGCGGCCCCTTCAGCTGGAGCGTGAGGCTGGCCGCGGCCGGCAGGCGCAGCTGGTACACCGGGTTGTTGGGGTAGGTGTGTGGGTGGTTGGTGCAGCCGCCGGCAGTCACGCCCCGCCACTCGCCCGTCACCTGGGGCAGCGCCGTCATCCGTCACCCGTCACTCGTCACGCAAGACGCCCACACAACGCGCCGACAGCCGCACGCCTGACGAGACAAGCGGAGAGACAACCACGCCACCTCACTGCGGTGACCCGAGGTCCGCAGACTTCTCGCCTTAGCCTTCTCACCAGTATTGTGGAGCATCTTGATACCGCTATGTGGCGCACTAACACGGCCAGTCTGACCCCGTCGCCAGCCGTGACTTGGACGAAACCATGGAGCGTCCACGTCAGCTCTGTATCAATCTTTTTGCGCGGTCTTGTCGCACCTTCTGCCCATCGTGCGAACGGCGGTAGACCGACGCTTTACCACCCGAACTCCTGGGGACAGCACCGTTCTTTGCACCAAGTGATTCTTACCAACACATCATCGTGCACGAGGTCGAACATTTGTAAGGCTGATACGGTGCAAAGGAGGTGAATTGATGCCATTTATCAACCAGCAACACCCACAAAACATGTCTACATGTGCTACGAAAGTTTCGCCTCTTACCGAATGCTGGGTGGGTAGGTACGGGACCCCTCTTCAAGGAGAAGGCGCTGGCGCTGTATGCCCCGCAGCGTGTAGTGGATGGTGTTGAGCTTCTCGTAATGCGCGATGACGAGGTGAAGGTGTAATGCTGGCCTCTTCAGCGTCAGCTTGCAGAGGTAGTGGGCGGCGAGTTGATGCGCCCGCCCTCCATGTACGGCTCGGGCTCGTCTGCAGCGTCAGGTGGGCGTAGTCACGCCGGACGGTGCCGGCGCCGGCGGCGGCGGACCCGCGGTCGTAGCCCCCGGACGAGCTGCGCGGGCCGCCGCGCAGCGCCACAAAACATCAAAAGATGCCACCGGAATGCACTGCTCGATCACCCATACCACCTCGATTTTCCAATAGCCGCAGGAGACCTCGAGTGTCCTGTCGACCCCCGTTCAGCGGCGGCGCGACGCCTGTTGCTCCCGCCTCGGCCCGACTCGATTCACGGGGTCCGACCCTGTCCGAATCAACTCACTGGGGTAGAAGACTCTGCGGCCGTCGGTGCGGTAGACGGCCACGGTAATGTACTCCTTGTTGTTGCGGAAGTCCTCGATCTCGGTGATGTGGCGGCTCAGCAGCACCCAGACCACGGTGGGGCCGCGCACCTGGCCACACACAGTCAGGTCAGTACGGGTCACGGCCGGGCCAGTGTGGGGTCGCAAACAGGACAGTGTGAGGTCACACAGGTCAGTGTGGGGTCATATTCAGGTCAATGTGGGGTCAGACAGATCAGTGTGGGGTCACAGTCAGGTCAGAGTAAGGTCACAGGTTAGTGTGGTGTCGACAAGCCAGTATGGGGTCACAGACAGGTCAGTGTGGGTCACATACAGGTCAATGTGGGGTCAGACAGATCAGTGTGGGGCCACACAGGTCAGAGTGGGGGTCTATCAAAGGTCTATGTGGGGTCAAGTACAGACCAGTATGGGGTCACATTAGTCAGTGTGAGGTCACACACAGGTCAGTGTAGGGTCACATACACATCAGTGCAGAGTCAGACATCAGTGTGGGGTCGCAGATGGGTCAGAGTGAGGTCGCATACAGATCGGAGTGGTGTCCATCACAGGTCAGTATGGGGTCACAGGTCAAGGTGAGGTTAAAAAAGACAAACAAGACTGCATGGGTCGTTTTAAACGATGTCACGCATTAGACGCGACATAGATATTAGGCGTTCCAACATTTATTTCGTTGATCAGTTGCTGCAACTGGGAATAGTTACTGTGCGCACGCAACCACAGTGTGATTTTGCGATGGCACAGCTCCAGATAAGCACAAATCTGACAAGATGTGATGATCGTCCGACATATACGGCCACCTAAGCGGCAGCGACAGACGAGTCCTGGACGCCAGCTCACCTCCAGACGGTACTGCGGGTTTTCTCCGATGTTGTACATGTCCCGGATGGGTCCGAGGCCGGCCAGCCACGTCCTGCAAAGCCACATGCCTCCAGTGACTGCGACGCCGCCGCGCTTATCGGTACCAAGTACGGACTCGGGACCGCCCAGGACTGCCAATACGCGCCGCTGGCCGTACAACGAACCAGTAAGGCAGGCTCGGGGGGGGGGGGGGGGTATACACACCACTTCTAGTAGGCGTAGCAGCTGGCGCGAGCTGCTGACCGCTGCCCCCCCCCCCCCACCCCCCACCCCAGGGCCAAGGCAGCAGGCGTGCCAGGCGACTGATCAAGGGGAGGCCAGGAGGCGTCCCGCCGTCCTCCGGCAACACCCTCTCACTCACTGGTGGTGGGCGAACGTGTGCGAGAACACCTGAGGGTTCCAGCTCATGTAGAACACGTCGAAGAAGCGCACGAGACTCTCGTAGTCGATCCAGAACACGCCGTTGTCGAACTGCTGCGCCGACTGCGGGTCGTAGCTGAGCGCTTGGCGCAGCGCCGGTGTCCAGTGGCGCTGGTCCATCTCCGAGTAGTTGCCCTTCCAGCGCAGGTGCGACCACGGGTTCTTCAGCAGCAGCAGCCGCTTGCCCTGCCGGCGTCGGAGTGCTACTGCTGGTGGGTCGGGTCAGCGCAGCGGCGCGCCACCGTGCCGACGCCCAGTGAGACCGACGCTTGTCAGAAGCGTTCAGAACCTGAACTGCCCCGCCGTGTGCCGCCGTCAGAGACTGAACTCTAGTGGAAACGCACGGCAAGCATCGGCGGAACTTATTGGAGACTTTTTAAGGCGTACAACAAACGAAACTTAAATACGC